CGCCGGGCCACGCCCGACTAGCTGGCAGGGCTGCGGTGGGCAGGCGCGTGCTCCCCGCCCCGAGCGCGGCTTCATCGCGGGCCTGAGGTCACGCTGTGCCCACGGACACGCTCAGGCAGCCGAGCTGTGGGAACGCACTGGCGTTCCCTGGGATGACACACCCAGCCGACTCTCACTACTGGCACGTCCTGCAGAGGCCGGAAGATGAGGAATACGCACAAGTTTATGCCACTGAGACAAATAAACTTGAAAAAATGCAATTCACCCGAAGTGACAGAAGACGAACAAATCCGGATTGCGCTCTGCCTAACAAAGAAATGGACTGCTTTCAGAAACACTCCCACAAATGGAACTCAAGACCCAGCGTGTTTCCTGGCGAACCCCAGCAAGCACGGGGAAGAAGTAACACCCACCACACGCAAACTTCAGAAAACCGGAGGCGAGGGAAGCTCCCTGCCGTGTGACGAGAGCGGCACCGCCCTGGCACCGTGACAGGGACAGGCCCAGGAGTGCGGGGCGGGCAGGTGCCAGGGCCCGCATGCCCCCCAGTGATGCCGTCCTGCCCGGCAACCCCGTGTCTTCCAGTCACACAGGGGCGTGAGCCCGACCTGGGACGTGCACACGGCGCCACCACGCACCCACAGCCGCCTTCTCTTCTGCGCTCGCTCTGGGGCTGGAGGACCGGGCCGCTTCTGTGTGAGTCAGAAACCCGGCAGACGCCACACGCGCTCGACAGGCCTAACCCCTCGCAGACCCAGACACGGGCATCGGCGGCTCAAACCTCGGTCCATGGAACCAGCGCTCGGGGTCATCTCTGGGGACGGGCGGTTTCGCGCCAGCCGGCCAGGTGTGCTGTACAGAGTGACCGCCAGAGACGGCGCCCGCGGGGCGGAGGCGGCTGTGGGCGCGCCCCGCCCCGTGGGGGCAGAGGCCGTGACTCGCAAGTGTGAGTTCTCACGAGAAGTAAGGGATGAACGTGTTCCCGCGCAGCCCGGCCTCAGGGGCTCACCATTCTGAGATGTGCTCCCCGCCAGCCTGCGCCGCGGCTCGCCAGCAGTCAGCTCGGCCGGCGCCTGGGGGGCCAGCGACTCCTGCCTGGGAGCCCACGCTCGGGCTGCCAGTCACCTTGTCCACCCCCACGGGCACCGGCCGAGCACGGCTACTGCCGGGGCTCCCTGCCCCCCAGCTTCCCAGAGGCAGACCCCCGCCTGCGGGGCGGGGCCGCCCCACCAGCGCAGCCCGGTGTCCCCCGTGTGGCTGAGCCCTGCGGCGGCTGCCCGGCCCTGCCCGCCGCCATCACACGTCCTCCGGGCCGTGCGCCTGGCACCCACTCTCCAGCCGTCTCTGCCGGGCTCCCGGCAGTCTCTGTCTTTTAGATCCAAAAGGGCAGTGAAGTACGGGAGGCTTGCCCACACACGGGCAAGGCGCTGCGAGCAGGGACACGGGCTGTCTGCAAGGGAGGGGAGGGCCGCTGGGCCGCTGTGCGAAGGGAGAGGCGAGGAGAAGCGCCTGCGGGCACAGCGCAGCTGCCTCGGGAGCGCAGGCCCGAGAGGCGCCTGCACGGGCGGGCGGCCAGGAGCCTGCCGACCGCGGTCTCTCAAGCCGAGTAACAGCTGTGCGTCTCGCTTCTTCCGAAGCCACACAGGACGCGCGTCCCTTCTTAGATGAGAGGTCACTCACACGCAAGGGTGGGGGGGTGGCTGCAAGCTTCGGTCCCGCTGGCTCCCCCTGAACCTGCAAACAAGGGACGGGCGCAGGCCCAGGCGGGCAGGGAGGCCAAAGCCCAGAAACACTCGGTGCAGCTTCCACGTGCCGGCTGGGCAGCCCCACGGCCTGAGGCCCCCGTCAGAGGCCGTCAAGCCCCAGCTGTGGCCATCGAGTGGGCCGGTCATTCAGAAAAGCCTCTCTGGGTGAAAGGAAATGTGTACCCTCATGGAACCCCTCCGTGCCCCACCTGCAAGGTGCCAGAACACCAGCACCTGCGCCGCGACCCCGCCCTCCCGCAGCGCTGCCGCTTCCAGCCCGGGGCTGGGCTTCTCTGGTTCCCAGCAGCAGACACTGGGCTCTGCTCTGGTTTGCGGTGTTCATTCTGGTTGCACCGAACTGTTTTAAAACTTTAAATCCATTTCCTGAGCCGGGCGCTGGGTTTTGAAAGTAGCTACCCCGCACACACGTCAGGCTCGCCGGGTCTCGCCCGGTTTCCAGACGGCAGGTGGCAGAAGACCCGGGCAGACGCGGACGGCTCTGCCAGCCTCACTTTCGAGGTGACTCCTGGTGATCTCAGCAGGAGGAGCTAGCGCCCCAGAAACACACGTCCGACAAGGACCTCCCTACGTGACAGAGTCTCTGGGACGGAGCCAGCGCGCTCCTGGGGAAGGCCAGTCCCTGCAGGGCTCGGCAGGATGGAGCTTCAGGCTGGCTGGCCGCCCTGAGACAAGTGAGGACAGCCCCAGAACACCCACCGGCTCGGACCGGAGCACTGACCGGAGCGTGAACCGGCCGTCTCGGGCCGGAGACCGCAACCCCCAGGGCTGACCTCAAACCAGCAGGCACCTCTGTGGAGTCGCAGGCTGACACTGGGGTGAACATTTACTTTTCGGGCCTCCCTGGTGGTGCAGAGATTCAAGTCAGCGCCGCCAAGCGGGCCGCTGCGGCACCCGGCCACCCGCCAGGAGGGACCCCGGGGCGTGGCAGCCCCGTCCTGTCTCCCCGCTGCCCCCTCAGCAGTGGGTTTCAATGGATCTGCCTGTTCTGCTCCCCGCTCTGTTTCTGGGGAGCCCTCTCGCCCCTGCGCGTTGGGCCTGTACCCCAGTTCTTGTAGGCACAGATATTTTTTTAAAGGAAAAATATCTTTCTACACTGTTTGCTCATGAACCCACTTTCATCCTCTTCCACCAAGCCTCTCCCCTGCCCAGGAGGGCGCAGAGACTTGGGATTTTTGTTCCAACTACTCGCCGCACTCGAGGCCTGCGCTACACGAGGGCGTCTGGGCTGACTGGGCCGCAGGCCGTTCAGGCCACTCAGCCGCAGTCCAAGCAAGCGTCCACTGCCCAAGCCCCGGGAGCACCGAGCTGGCGGGCACGAGTCTGTCCCCTGTGAGCGACGCCGGTGCTGGCCGGGGTGTTCGGCTCAGAGCCGACGGGCAGGACAGAGACCCCCGTGGCCACTACGCTGGGGGCGGACCACAGCGCTCCCTGCACCCCGGCAACAGCCCGGAATAAGCAGAAAGTCGCCTGAATTCCCGTGAAGGTTGCGGCGTGAGGCCTCAGGCGGGCACTGACCGCCGTGAGCACCAACTACAGTGAAGAGGCGGGCGCCAAACTAAGCTGCACGGCCCCGGCACTCCGCGGGGGCTGTGGGGACTGCGGCCGCTAGGCCAGGTGGGCTTCGTCTGGGAAGATAAAGCCATGTGGACACCCTACAACAGAGGCCCTTCTTCTGACCCCCACGCCTACAACTCTCCTTTCAAAGGCAGAAAATTCCAGCCAAGGCTCCGTTCACAGAATGAAAACGGCTTAAAACCTCCGCTCCACCCAACAGCCCACCCTGGCTCGTCCTGGCGAAAGCAACTGTGGCGGCGAGCAAGGAGCAGATCTGGGGCCTGCAGCCCTGAGCGCGCTTTTCGGGGGCTCTGGGCCGCTGTCCTCGTCACCTCACCACACCACACCACACGTGCCTCCGGGGGCCGAGTCGGGGGCCGATCTTCCAGGGCCTCCCTTCACTGGGCGGCAGGTCAGAGCTCCCGTGAAAAGGCCCGACAGCAGGTCAGACCACATCTACCCGCATGTTCCAGCCCACGCGTGCTCTGAACCAACTCCCCGAGCCTGAATGAGGACGTCTCGGGGGGTGGGGGAGCTACTGGTGGGCTGCAACGCGGCTGGCCCCTACCCGCTGGTCGACTTCGGATTCCCGAGTCCGCGCCGCGGTCATCGGAGCGAGCTGAGCCAGGGCGTGGTCCTCACCGTGACACGCGGCTGAGCTCTCCCACACCCGCCAGGCCAGGCACCGTGACGCCTGGACTTCAAGAAGACTCGGTCCCTGCCCACAAGCTCTTCCCCAAGAGAGGAGAAAGGACGGAATTTGGCCCCCTCACCCTCATCCCACGTACCCCTGGATTCTCGTCAAACCAAATTCCCCAGGGGGCCACCGCCCCACACCCGAACACTCGCCATGCTTCTCTCTGCGGCGAGGCTTCCGCAGCCGCCCACCACGCATTTCCGCCGCGCCAGAGGCCCCCCCAGGCAGACGCGGGCTCCCGCGGGCTCCGGCGGCGGCAGGGCCACACGCCGAAGTTCCGGGGTTGCGCAGCTTGTGTTCGATAAGCTAAATGGTGAGAATAAACAAACGCCCAGACCCACAGCAGACTCTACCCACCTCAGAGACACCCCAAGGCAGGCTGGGATGAAGGCGGCGGTAAGCTCGGCCACAACTCAGCAGTGCTTTCCCAGGGAGAGAGAGATTTTCCGTACAGGTGACTTCTAGCTCACTTCCCACCCCCTTCTGGAGGAGGCATGTGTCCTCCTGGCTCTAGTCACCTTCATTCAGTCCATATGACCTTTACCCTTATGGCAGCTGCCCAGGGGCAAGGCCGTCAGCGGCACGCTCAGCCCTGCAGAGTTGCAAGAGGAAGAACACTATGAGGGGAAGAGAAACTGGCACGAAAAGGTCCCTGGGCCGAAAAAGAACAATTCTTCGCAGCGGAGGGGGAGCTCAGTGGCACAAGGAGCGCGTTAAAGCACATATGGAGGGATGTCCTAGAACAAGAGCAACGAGGGGGAAGAATCAGAAGCGGAAGCAATGACTGAAATCGGGCGCTCTGCCACTCGTGTGTGTAACAAGGCTGAGGCACTTCCCACAGGAGTCACCGCGGCCTGGGATGCGGTACTGTGGCAGAGCTTTGCACCAAAAGAAGACATTTTGAGACAGTAAGTGGGGCTTCGACAACCCACAGATTTTCTGCAAAACTAACAGATGGTTTAAGTTCTGGTAAGACAGGAAATAAAAATCCAGAAAAGATGAGACACAAGGCACAATAATCAGCCTGCTGTCTTACCTCACCCACGTTTTCAACCCTTGTTACATTTAAAACTCAGGTAAAAGAAACAAAGTGTATGATGAAACTTAACGGCAAACAGCCTCATAGTATCTCTGCAAAGGTAAACTAAACATAGTAACGTTACAAAACCATCCACTTCCCAAATAAGTACCGTCAGCCCCAGAAGCCGGCAGATACTCCATCCTCAGGAAGTATGCAGCCACAGCTGAAGCTGCCGGGTACCGCTCGGCCATCAGTCACAGGCTGGGAAACGGCAACTCTGAGACTCTGAAGAAAAGCCACGCGCCTCAATGCTGGATGCATGAAAACAACAAAATCTGGAAACAATCTTTGTTACTTCGCTGCGACGTCAGAGATCCGCCCCGAGCAGACAACTACGCAGCCCAGAACGCCACCACGAAGATGCCCAAACCAAACATGATCCCGTTAGCCGCCCCCCCACCCCAGGCGCTGGGGCTCGGCACTGCGACGCTGCCCCTCCCACGCAGCAGGCTTCCATCCCGGCCAGGGAGCGACCCCATGGCAGCAGACCCCCCTCTCCCCGCTGGCCCCTCAGCAGTGGGTTTCGGTGGATCCGCCTGTTCGGCTCCCTGCTCTATCCCCGGCGAATCCTGTCGAGCCGCCCACCTCTGGCCTGCACCGCAGCTCTTGTGTGCGTAAACAAACAAATCTTTAAAACAACAACAACAACAACAACGACAAAAGCCCGTCGTGCGGTTCAGGCCTGTTCACCCA